TGTACAGTTGAACCTTTCACATGTTGCTGTTCGGACTTTTTAGCTGTAGATTCATCCTTTGCTACAAATGATCAAACATTCACTAAGGAATGAATCTGTTGACTTTTATGCATGAAAATGTTTATTTTCTTATTTAAAGAACTAAATGTGTTTGTTTGCATGTTTTAATGTAATGAATTATCCTCAGACTGTGTTGGTTTCCATCCACACCGGATGCTGGTTCCGACCTGGACCCGCCCACTGGACACCTTCTCTTATTTACATGCATCAGTATTGATCAGTATTGATTTCCTGCTGCTGGCATAAATAATTAACCAGCTATCAGCTTTTAGCTTCCCTCCATGTGGAAGCAATCACAGTCTGACTGCTGCAGATCAGATGTTATTAACAGATGGAAACCAGGTCAGCTCTCTCTCTCCTTACTCGATTGCCCTCTCTCTCTCGCCCGCCCCTCCCTCTCCCTCTCTCTCTCCTGTGATCTCATCCTCTCTGGCTGCTGACACATTCCTCTGCTTTCAGCCTTTATTCCTTCACTCTTTGTTATCAGGAGTGTGTGTGTGTGTGTGTGTGTGTGTTGGATGTTTTCCCCCATGATGGAGCAGAGAGGCCCCCTGGAAATGACTGAATGTCTGCGACCCGTCCAGAACCGTTGGTTCCGTCTGGACCTCTGGCAGGACCAACATGCGGATCATTAGAAATCTGCAGAGGAGTGAAATGAGAACAACATGAAGTTCATAAAATCCTTTTTATAATGGTATCTAGTTTGGTTCAGTTGATTATAACGTTAAGTTTGTTCACAATAATGTGCTAGAAGACAGAAAATAAAAACTAACAACACAAGATTAAAAGACAAAAACCTTTTTATTTAAAAGTCTGCAGCTGATTGGACCGAGTCATTCCCTTTGCAGATCAAGCATGAGGCGACAGTGGGGGAGAAAACTCCTGCAGAACCAGCAGAAGCCACTTAGATTCTGGTTCTTCTTCATTCTGATGCTCAGTTTGAACTGCAGGAAGTAGTCTTCCTCACCTCTGGATGAAGAGGAGTCGCTGATTGGCTGCTGGTCTTAACGAGCGTCTTACCTGCTGTTGTGGATATATGTTGCTAACAGGACTTTAATGTCTGTTGCTAGGCAACCAGGTGGGTGTTGCAGTAATCATGGAAACGGTTCTGATCCTAAGACTGTAAACATCTAGACCAGGGGTCACCAACTCCAGCCCTCCAGGGCTACCATCCTGCAACTTTTAGATTCACCTCTCCTCCAAAATGTCTGAATTCCCTCACCAGCATTCATTCCTCTCTGCAATAGGCTGGAATCGAGCAGTTTATTTAATCCAGGTGTGTTTGAGCAGAGACGCATCTAAAAGTTACAGGATGGTAGGACTGGAGTTGGTGACCCCTGCTCTAGACCTTCCACAATCAATCAGGTGTTTAATCCACCTAGATAATGTATAATTAACGAGTTAGCTAGATATTAGCTAACCCCCAACATCAACTTTATTTGCTGATCAACTTTATAACTTGTTCCTTAAGGGTTCTCTCTTTATGTTTCTGTGGATGTAAATTAGTTTAATTCTGCCATATTTTGCTAGTCAGTGCTGCCCTCTATGGGTTGAACTGTGGTACTGCAGGTGAATTTTCCTATTGGTTCCAGCAGTCCAGCTTGGTCAGTATCACTAAGCTCCACCTCCAGGTATCAGCTACCTGAGACACGCCTCCTGGTGGCGAGTCAGGAGGAGGAACAGCTGGCATGGTTAGCATTGATTGATGCCCGTCTCTTGGCTCCGCCCACTTTGGTGGAGTTTTTCTACATGTGGGCGGAGCTAAACCCTCTCAGGGGGTCAGCTCCAGTCTGATGATGCAACTCCTGGACTGTTGATCATCAGATTATTGATCATCAGAATGTCTCTGCTTGATGTTTGATCTGGAAATAGAACCAATTCAGAACCAATAAGAACAGAGAACCCAGCAACCGGTAACATGTTGCTGGGTTCAGTCTGCAGGTCCTGTTCTGACGGGTTCTGACGGGTTCTGACGGGTTCTTCTGAAGTGGATCATAGTGAAACTGGAGAGCCAGAAAACACCAGTAACACCAGTAACTTTATTATTTTACAGCTAAGTCTCTTTCTGTTGATCTGGTTCTGTTTTGTCACTGTTTGGATCAGAACCGGTCGGATCCAGATCGATCTGGTTAGGAATCACAGACTATGGATAGATTATTGATTGATTTATTAGTGATGATCAGTGAAGTTCATCAGAACCGGATGGTCGGATCCAGAAAGTTCTTTGGTCTTTATAGAGGAGTCAGTGAGAACTTCAGGGCCGGTTCTGTTTCTGCCCCGTTTATCCATCCATTCATCGCGGTAACCATAGCAACCGCTAAGTGCATTAGCAGGGAGTAGCTAACCTGATTACAGGGAGAGAGTCCTGCAGAGGATGGAGGGAGGAGGTTCTGGTTCCGACTGGATCTGACTGCTACTATATTTTTCTAACTGGTTCTAACTGGTTCCTACTCTGCTGAACATGCAGCAGCCTGAACCATGTTTGGACTGAACCCAGATTCGGTTCTGTTGCTCCTGTCAGGTGGACTCCGTGGTCCGGCTGTCGGCCCAGTAGAACCTGCTCAGCTGTCTGCTGAAAAGGGGCCTGGTTTCCATGGTTACGGCTGTTTTAGGTCATTTCCTCTCTTCTGTCTCTGTGTGGCAGCAGCTTCTGGATCAGAACCAAAGGATCGGGGTCTCTGGAGGTTCTGGTCCATTAGCGTCCTCCTCCTGCTCTGGGTCGGTGTGGTTCTGCTGGTACCGGGTCAGATAGCTGCTGCTGTCCTACATGGTTGGCTGTGGCCTAGTTAAAGCTGCAGAGGCAGTGATGGATGATGTCCCGTCTCCTCTCCGACCCAGTTCTCCAGAACCAGCGGCGCATTGCGGTGAAGGCTGAGCGGACCTCAATGGGACCTGCAGTAGCCCGTCTGGTTCTGGTTCTGGATGGGTCCAGTAATGATGTAATGCTCAGTTTGGATCAGCAGAACATTGGGGAACCGTTTCCATGGTAACCTGTGGTTTTACCGCCAGCAGAACCATCAGAACCGATCCGCCTGCTCCTGCAGCAGCCGGAGGTTCTGCTCCGATGTGAGCGGTTCTGGAGAGCGGCGTGGGCGGCTGAGAGCGGCGTGGGTTTCTGCAGCGCTGCGGTTGCCATGGTGATCAGCTGATGCTTGAAACGTGAAAGTGCCAGAGAGCTTTCTGTCTGCTCGGATCAGAGCCACAGAACCTGCAGGCTCAGTGGACCACGGTTTGGATCAGAACCGGAGGTTAGAAATGTTCTCCAGAACCAGCAGATTTATTCCAGCCCTCCCAGTTAAACTCTGGCCTCTGGCCCAGTTCAAGTTCGTCTCCGTCGGGTCTTTGTGCCGCTGTCGGCAGCTTCATGAGTTGCTGCTGCCGCAGTGCATGCTGGGATGGCGTTACCATGGAGACGTGGCATTTTGCAGGATAATATCTGCTTTACTGAGGACATGGACAGAGAGAGGAGGGGACAGGATGGGGGATGTGTTGTCCTTCCTCCAGGCAAGCGAATCAGAATAGAGAAACTTTAATCTGGATTCTGTGCGAACGGACTGAACCGGTTCTGGTTCCTGAACTTTCTGAGGTTCAGCTGAACTCATGAACTTGAACCAATCAGATCCTCCATCAGTTTGATCTGTCTGCTCTCTGATTGGTCCTCAGAGATCAGCTGGTTGATGATCCGGTTCTACTTTGGTTCTGTTCCGGTTCTATTCATTAGTGAAAAGAACAACTTTTCTATTGCTTATAGAGATGAGGTTTAAATCATTTTTACACTTTTATTAAAATGTAGAACCGAACAGATGAATATTTATTTCCATATTTCAGCAGACATTGCAGATCGACCAATCAGAAACCTTCATTTCCCCTTTGATATTCAGTCTGGTTCATTTTGTTCTGACACATAAACGTGATGATGTCATCAGAACCAAGTCCAGATCTCCAACCTGCAGAAACGCTTTACTACTGCAGGCGGTTGTCATGGCGCCCTGCGTATGTATGTGTGTGTGTGTGTATGTGTGTGTGTGTGCGCGTGCGCGTGCGCGTGTGTGTTCTGATCCCATCTTCATCATCAGCGTATTTTTAGCATAGCAACACCAGCAGCTCCACTGACTGGTTGCTGAGCTCTGAGTGGGAGGAAGTCACCAAGTGTCCCAGCCGCTTCACTTCCTGCTCTGACAGTCGGCTCCTCTGATTGGACGGTTTGAGGATCAGTGGGTGGGGCCTCAGCTCAGGTCAATGAAGAGTCTGATGACTCAAACGTCGCAAAGAAAATTTAAACTGGAAAAACTGAATATGATCAGCTGGAGCTGAATAAAGAGAGGAAAAAATAATGAAAAGTTTTTAGATTTAAAAAAAATTGTTTCTTTACACTTCATCTTTTTTTTTTAGATTTTTTTTTTTGTTTACATCATTCTGTCTTTCTTTTTGTACTTCTGTCTCTTTCTTCACAGAGGAACTCTCACTCTTTTTAACAACCAGGAAACTTTACGGTTTATAAATCATAGTGAATGTTGCCTAGCAACAGCATGAACTGCATCTCTGCACTGCCAGGTTTCATCCTGCTGCTCTGATGTCCTGCAGTGACCTGGATTCACCAGCAGGGGGCAGCGCTCCCTCAGCGCTCAGGAAGAGCTGTTTGATCCAGCAGCTCCTGGTTCTGTGGTTCTGGTCCAGATCAGTTCACTGAGGTTCCTGCTCAGCTCTCCCACCTCAGTGTTTCAGGTAGAGGTTGGGCTTTGACTAGGCCAGTTCTACACATTTCCATCTGTTCCATTGTGCTGCTGGGTTCTGATGGTGGCCTGGTTGGTTGTGTCAGCAGTTGTATTGGACTCTAGAACAGTTTGGTCTATAGAGGAGCTGATGGTGGTCAGTTTGGATCCCGCAGCATCACTCCTCCTCCACCGTGCTTCACTGACCGTCTCTCTCTGTCTCTGCAGGTTTCCTCCAGTCGTCCCGGCTGGCCAATCACAGCCGCTCTCAGAGGGTCCCACTGATCCCAGCAGCAGGTAACCGGTGGGCGGAGCAGCGAGCGGCGGTGGGGCCGGAGTCACGGCGAGGTCATCATGACGTCGGTGGCGGCGGAGTTCGACCACATGGAGATCCAGCAGCAGTACAGCGAAGGCGTCAACAACCGCTGGGACGCCGACGACTGGGACAACGAGAACAGCTCGGCCCGCCTCTTTGAACGCTCACGCATCAAGGCGCTGGCAGGTAGGACTGCTGGTTAAACTGGGATGAGGATATTCTGAGTCCTGTCTCTTTAAACTCTCCCCTCTGATTCTGCTGTTTCTGTCCTGAGCTGGTTAAGTTAACCAGGTGGTCAGGTTAACTTACCCAGGTAACCTGAGGTAACTCTGGGTTCTCTGAGAGCCTCCAGCTTCATCTGCTGGAGCAGAAACATGATTTAATCCTCAGCTTTCCTTCATTTCTGGTTCTTCTTCTGCTGGTTGATTTCTAGTCATTTTCATACTAAGCGCCCCCTAGAGGAGAGGTTCTCAAACTTGGCACCCTGTGTTTTGACAGAAAACGGAGCCAGAGGGCTGAACAGTTATTGGTAACTGGTGACCCACATGAATGTGTTTACTTAATTCTCTATTTATTTAATAAATACATAAATATAGATTTAAATTACAGTTATGGATTTGTTGAACTTTTTATTTCATAATTTAAGATCTATAGTTCAATATTTAATGGGACATTAACTTCATTTCATATTTAATGACCTTATGATAAAGTTATTAATTTGTGTTTTCATATTTATGCTCTCCATAAAGCTCAGGGTTGCATCATGATGATTCTGAAGTTTTTGACCCTCTGCTTGATGTCTCGTGCCCCCTGGGGGTCCCTGACCCTCACTTTGGGAACCCCAGGCTTACAGAGGCATCAAACTGGGAACAGGAAGGTTTTTATGGTGGTTATATTTTTTCTGGAAGCTCAGGATCAGATAAACATATTTATCCAAATGTTCAGCAGATTAAACCAATCCTGAGTGAAATTAGACTCATTAAAGAAACCTGCTGGTTCTGCCTGGTAACAGGAAGGTTCTGGAGCTGTTTGGGTCGCATGATGTCACAGAACTGAGATGCATCTCATCAGCAGAAGATGATGAGATGCTGAAGTAAATCTGGAGTTAATCTTGGTTTCTGTGGCTGGTTTCCTGATTTCTCTCAGGTCCCAGCTGCAGCACGGTGGTGGTTCTGACCAGTAGTGGTTCTGAGTTAAACAAGCTTTCTGGTCCTCAATCTGAAGCTCTGAATCCTGAACAGGATTTAAACCTGAGAGCAGCTTCATCAGCTCTACAGGAGTCACACAACTTGGTCCAGTAGGGGTCGCCAACGAGCTGCAAGAGAACCAACATCCCAGATTATCCACATTTATACAAAATATTCCCATAAACATCATAAATCTGTTCAGGTTTTTATGTAATTATTGTTTATTAACCAGTCAATAATAACTTCATGTCTGGTTCCTCCATTTGATCCCTGCTGGTTGACTTGAACGTTTATCTGGGATTATTTTATTAGTGGTTGTCAGTAATAATCCAGATTATAATCCAGATTATCTCAGGTTGTGTTTTCAGTCTTTCTATTGTTCCATCTTCATCGTGTCCAAACAGCAACAATAACTCCTCTTCATCAGGCTGATGCAGATCACGGGTCGGCTGCCGCCGCTAGCTCACATGCTTCCTGTGTGTGTGTGTGTGTGTGTGTGTGTGTGTGTGTGTGTGTGTGTGTGCTCTAAATAATTCAGTGTCCTGCCGTGTTAAATATGCAGCAGGCTGTTTACATGGGGGGGCAGGTGGGGCCCAGGGCTCATTAAATCATCTTTCTGTTCCTAAACCGATTAACTGGAGAATGTTCTGCTGGAATCTCTGATTGGACCAGAGGACCGGTCCGGTCCAGTCTGTTGGGAACCAACCAGTTGGTGGGTTTCCCTCTGGTCCGGTCAGAACCTTGGTCCATGAGTTGAGTGGCTGGTTTCTGTTTTAGTGACGGGTTGAAGGGTTCTTGGCGGTTCTGATCGGACCTCAGCTGGGTCACCTGGTTCTGGAAACGGGTCTGATCAGCTGGAACAATGGGTCCTTTCAGATTCCAGACGCTGCTGTTGCTCCTGGTTTCCTTCCTGATCAGCCTGAAGCTCCGCCTCCTCCTGGAGTTGAACCGCCGTCCTTCCTGCCTCAGAACCCAGAGCCTTAAAGGGACAGTAACATGAAAAACCTGCTTCTCTTAGCTTTAGATCATGTTATGATGCTATCCCCTCATCAAATTGTTGAGAAATTGTTTAGTCTCCATGACAACCACTCAGCTGAGCAAAACGGCTCAGATGAGCATCGTCCCCACTCAGCTCCTTCTTAAAGAGACAGAGGCCCAAATTTCAAGATGTTGAATTACAAAGTCAAACTTCTATAAAGTCATATTTGATACATTGTTATAAGAACTGATTGACTAACACACAGAAACAGAAGCATCAGTCAAACCTGAACCTTACTCAGATTATAGGTATCAAACGGCCGGCCTCCCTGACCTCCTCAGGATCATTGGGCGTTTCGTTAATCTCTGTGTCGGCGCATCGCTCATCAGTCCAGACTCAGATTCATCAGCAGGACTCTGTGAATTCTACATGTTTGATCCCAGTAGAGCCACACTATTCACAACAGAGAGCAGCAGATGTTGCAGAGCAACAGCTGCAACTACAGAGTTCAACAAAACGAGAAACATGAAGGTCTGTATTTAGGAATCAAACAGAAATCTTTATGTTGGCGGTTTGTGGCAGTAAACATTTTATCTCCATCTCAGAGTTTCTTCAGCTGTTGAGAAGTCTCTCATTAGATGTTTCTGACCATCAGCTCTGCTTCTGAATCTAAACATCAGGAGAGGAAAACGTTTAATTGTCATGTAGAAAATGTCTGACTGTCCCTTTAACTGACAGTTTGGACCAATCAGAATGTCTCTGGACCCGACGCAGCCATTCAGACCTTTCATTAGCCTGAAAGCTGTGTGTGTGTGTGTGTGTGTGTGTGTGTGTGTGCGTGTGTGTGCGCGCGTTTGTTTGTAATACCTTGTCGGGACGATTTTCCTGACATATACTACGTTGTGGGGACCAATTGCTCGTGGGGACCGGAGCCTGGTCCCCACGAGGGGAAACCCTGTTTATGGGTCAGGGGTCAGAGTTAGGGCTAAGGTATGAATTGAGTTTTGGTTGGTTAGGGTTAGGGTATGTGATGGTTAGGGTTAGGAAAAGGGGTAAAGGTTAGGTTTAGGCTGTAGAAATGAATGGAAGTAAAGATAGCCAGACAAACGTGTGTGTGTGTGTGTGTGTGTGTGTGTGTGTGTGTGTGAGGTCCATATGATAGCCTGAGCAACACTACACCACTGGTTACCATGGAGACGCAGCCTGATCGACTTCCACTCAGAGTGGGAGGAGAAGCGGTTCAGACCATCAGAGTGAGATGCATGCTGGGAAATAATCCAGCATGCATCGGGTCTGGTTCTCATCTGGACCGATGGCTCGGCCACCCTGAAGGTCACCGGATGACCTTCAGCTGTTTGCTGTAAGAATCGGTTCATCAGTTTATCGTGTTTCAGCAACGAGGCAGGTCAAAGGTCATTACATCACAACTACAGATAAACCGGCTCTGCTTCTGCTGCAGCTCTCTTGTTGTTCCTCAGCCTGATATAATCTGCTGGGATGAGCATCATAATCTGAGTTTAACTGTCCAGAACTGGACTGAATGGGAATGACTTGGAGTCGGATCAGAACGTCTGCAGCTGAGCTGGATCCGTTTGTCTTGTTCAGACGGTTCAGTTCTAGATCAGTTGCACATAAATAACTGAACTAAACAGAACCAGGTCCGATGTACCCAGTTCTGATCAGGAATGACTGTGTGGATCCATTTGGATCAGATGATCAGGGATCAGAATCTGATTTATTGAAGAGCCACTCAGTGGCTCCATAATTAGAACCAGAACCGGTCCGGTTTCCCACAGAGAGGGCTGTGTGTCACTTCCTGTTTGGAATACCACAGGTTGGAATGCTGGGAATGTTTTTCTTCCTGGTTGGTGAAGTGAAAGCTCACGCTGCAGGTTCTCATTCATTACTACTCAGTTTTCCAGTTTTTCCTGTTTTCCTGGAGTTTTATCTCCAGTTCTCCCAGTTTTTCTTCCTCCCAGTCAGGAACGCTCTTATCAGCCCAGATACACGTTACAACATGAGATTAGATAATCTCTGCTTTCCCTTTTCTACACTTCAGTTTCTGGTTCAACCTTAAGTCCTTCCTGATAAGAGGAAGATAAAGCAGCAGAACCCTGACCCGGCTCTGACCCGGTTCTGCTGTCTCTGGGTAAAAAAAGTCTGATGATAACAGCAGCTGGATTAAAGTGGGACATGTTTCCAGTGGTGTGGGAGGGGGAACCAGTGAACCGGATTTACCTGGTGGACCTGATGCACCTGTTGGACCGGCTGGACCCAGTGAACCCTGGTCTCCCCTCCTGGTTCTGGGGGTCGTGACCTCCCTGGAATGCTCCTCTGCGCTGCGCAGGCCGAGCCGGCGTCTCTGTGTGAAATTCAGCGAGCGGCTGGCGGATGTTTGACCGGTGAGGGCGTCGCCGGGTTCAGCAGAACTGGCCGCAGGGTGCAGCGGTTCTGGACGGCCCGGCCCGACCCCGGCACTGTGAAGGGAGCGCTTGGTTCGGTGGCGGCGCCGCCCTGAGGGGCCGAGCCACGAGGAGAGCAGATGACTGCAGCAGAACAGAGCGCGCTCACAACGTCTGCTCCATCTGCTGTCTGTTTGCTGCTGCCTGACCTCTGACCTCACCGTGGGGGCTGGGGGTGGGGGTCAGGCTGCTCCTAGATGGAAACATCTGGATGGTTTCTTCTTCTTCTCTGCAAACTCAGAGCTGCAGTTTGATCTGCTGGTCAAAGATCATCTCTTCATACCCGACCTGCAGGCTGATTGATATCCAGACAGGAAGTTCCTGCTGACGGACAGGAAGCTGGATGGACCACATAAACTTTAATTTATTCCAGATTAGAAGTTTAGATCCAATAAATGTCTGATTTTACCATAAATCCAGATCTTTAACCAGGAGGTTTGGTGTGGATTGGCCGGGTGTTGGTCCATCCATCAGTCAGCGTTAGGAGGGTTGTTGTTTTAAATAACAATAAAAGAGGTAAAAACTATTTATTACTTGTTTTTTATGGCTGTGACTGCA